ATGGACGATTTGCATAGCTTAGATAGACGCGACAAGACAGATACAGATTGGCTGGTGAGGCATCATGAGTGGGCAGTGTTGTGGGATGATCGACATCGGTGCCTTCCCCGTAGAGAACCCATTTTACTTGACCTCTTGTGTGTTACTGAAGGTTATTATGAGTGGTTCAACAATAATAGGAAACCGTTTCTGCTTCCCGAGGATGCACGAGGGCAGACCTTTCCACGACGTCGACAGAGACATTCACCGACACAGCACCATCGTCCCCCAACTCGTGGACAGAGAGCAGATGCTTCCGGTTCATCCTCAGCTGTACCAGCAAGACATTCACAGTAGCCACCACAGCCATTTATGATGCCGCAGCCATATATGATGTCGCCGCCTTTTCATTACCAGATGTCGCCGCCGCCTTCACCTAGTTTTATGACCCCCGCCATCGCCACCGTCACAGATGACCCCTCCTGGAGGCTATTATGGGTCTATGTTTGTAGATCCGACTTTAGGTTCATATACTGGATATCTGGCGGGTTCATCCTCATCACTCATGGCCGCAGCACAGACACCTCCTGTACAGTTTTTACACTCAGCGATGTCTGGGTTTTATGAGTTTTCCCAGTTTTCGCTGGCCGGTGGGATAGTCAGTCATACACCTCTAGGGTTCTTATTCTACGGAGGTGCTTCATCGTCATCGGCTCCTCATCAACCAAATGTACCTGCTCAAGACAACGATGACGAAGACGACGACGACGACAATGATTATGACAGCGAGGAGTCAAAACCAGTGATACGAAGAAATCCTCCTCGAGACCGACAACCATCTCCCTGCGGAACACATTCGTGACGCATGCATCGATAGATTTTTTTTATTATATTTGTATTTACTTTATTTTTTTTAATTGTAATTTTTTATTATTTCTCATTTAATACTTACTTTATTTTGTTAAATTTGTTGGACTTTTTTTTAATGTATTTCAGTTATTTTTGTTTATTAACATTTAATATCAGTTATTGTAATTTGATTATCATTTACCATTTAATTCTTATTGTAAGTTTGTTGTATTTAAATACCAAATTTTTATTAGTTTGATAAAATTTAATGATTGTGTTCATTTTTTTAATCTTCATCAGCGATTATCTAATGACATTAACTTGAAATAAATGTAAATTAAAGTACAAGAATTATTATTTGATAAACAAATACATCATTTCCTCATCAATTGTTACTTGATGATAACAGAAGTGAACATGTTTTTCTAGTGTGTCCTGGGTTTCTACAATGGCCACATCTTCTGTCTTGTCTAGATTTTTCTCGAATATCCATATCTCAATGAATTCGATTGGATTTTGGATGACCACACTCCCTCAATAAACTCGAATTTGGTACAATCAGAAGCCAATCTTGAACCTCATCAGAGTCTTTTTCATTACCTATGGGGGGAAACTCAAATTCGTATACCTTAAAAACTTCAGATAGTAGGTATACGTGATTCATAAAATGGTTATAGTCTTGACGTGTATGGGAGCAAGCTGCTATCACATGAGAGCATGGATACTTCAGAGCTTGAAAAAACCCGTAGTCGGACGTTTTGTCCCTTAGATTTACTCTTAACGACACAACTTCAATCCCTTGAAGAGGTCGCGGGAACTCTGTGACACGAAACATTTCATGACTTCTAGATAAGCTTGTTACAGACATTCCATTTGATGCAACAATTTTTTTTCTGTAGATCTGCAACTAATCTAGGGTGATATACATGACCGTCTTGCATCCAGGTTTGAACTTGTCCCCCGAGCTTCGCAAAAAGCGCCCCCAAACAAAAATATATAGTTTTTACCAAAGCCGCTACAGGTAAGTGACGTGCACCCTTTAAGGTTGAATTGATTGCCTCAGCCAAGTTGGTCGTCTGTGTCCATATCGATATCCACCATTATATGCGTTCGTCTACATTTCTTTATCGATGAGGCTGATGTAATCGTATCCTTCCTCGTTCTTCTCCCGTAAATCTTGAAGCATTGATTCAAACGTTCAAGGAAGTAGTTCGTAACCTGATCAAAAAAATGTATAACTTACTAACTTGCTTTCTTTGCAAAATTAAAACGATTGAAAGAAAACAAACTACATCAGTTTCACTTACCCATGAGCACAATTAATTGACGATCATCATTCTTCTTGTACCTTCCATGATAGTTCGCAGTAATGTGTCGGAGACAATACCTATGTTGGACAAAGGGTGGTTGCCACATTGGACCCAAAGACTCCATTGCTGCTTTGATCCCAGCTCCGCGATCTGAAATGACACAGATGTTTTCCCTCGTGATAACATGTGCACGTAAGTTTCAGAGGAAAAAAGCCCAAGAATCTGTATCTTCTCCTTCGACAAGAGCAAAAGCAACTGGAAGAATGTTGCAATTACCATCTTGGACAATTGCCAATAATAAAACTTGCTTGTATTTTCCATACAAGAAAATCCCGTCGATCTCGACCACAGGCTTGCAGTATTTGGCAGCATTAACTCACTGTGGGTAACTCCAAAAAACCCGGTAGAATTGGCTTCGATCGCGAAGAACTCGATCATTATGGTATGCATAGGAGCTTTCGAAGTCCACAATTGTCCTAGGATTCAACGTCCGCACCATCCTAAACCAACTTGGAAGTTCGTTGTAAGATGCATCTCATTCGCCATGCAGTTTGACAATGGCATTTTGTTTTGCCAACCAAGCTTTTATATAGGAGACAGTGTACCCATACTGCGATTGTATAGCTGAAATCAACACAGCAACAGCTATATGAGAGCTTGCTTTTGCCATGGGCATGATGGCTTGGCATATCATTTCAAAGTTCAAGTTGGGATGATCTTGGTTGACCCCTCTAGCACAACATGTATGAGGACCGTTGTATACTGTTAGTTCCCATATGTTGTTTTTCCTCTTCATTTTCAATACGCGAACCATCCAATTGCATCCGTTTTTGCGTCGGACACAATAGCATACATATTTTTCGATCGTCGATCGATTGACTCTGGACTAAACAGAATTACGGATATTGTAATTTTTTATAGCCATCACCGCTTCTTCTTTGCTTGAAAACTCCATGCCTAAATATAACTCACCATTATTTATTGATGAGTAATATCCATAGTCAACGAGATGAGGCATATCCGCAAATTCTGGCACGTACATTGCACCATAATCAGCTCCATACATGTGTGCAGGAGGGTCAGTTTGTGCCACATTTCCTAGAACTTAATCATCATTGGAGTTGAATGCGGTGATTCTGGGTGAATGAATAGTCCAGTCTCAGCACCATTCGCACCAGGCTCACGAAGCGGTTCTTTTGATGGAGATGATGGTTCCTCCATGCTCTCCACATTTAGGTCGAAGAACCTACTACTTGCATGCCTTCCCCTTGAACTGGAAGGCATATCGACATTGACGTCGAAAAAACTCGCAGTCGAATGCCTCTCCCTGGAGCTTGAAGCCATCATGTCACATGGAAACTGCACAGATGGCTGTGTCGATGGCATCTCCACATAGTCAAAAAAATTTGCAGATGAATGTCTTCCCCTTGAACTTGACGCGGAGTTGCCATACGGATTGTTCGTGGACCCACCTCGGTACATATCGTAAGGAGTTGCGGATGAATGTCTCCCCATTATGGCATTAAAATCATTACACATTACTGTAGTCGAGCTGTCAACTTGATCAACTTGTTCAGCCAACCCATAGTGGGAGCTTAATGATTGACCCCGAACAGCACACACTTGAACAAAATATGCATACATCTCAATAGCGGCGTCTGAATAATTACTTTGAGCTTCAACCATCATTTGAACATCATCATTGTTCGAAAGTTCGAACGCTGTATAAGTTAATGGCAACAATGATGTTGGAAATCTATACTGCAACGATGACATTCTTCTACTACTTCCAACATGAATCTTCCTCGAAATCTTCGTTATCAGCTCCTCAAGAGTTATGTTTCTCTTGAATGATATTTTAACACGCTCATTTGATACGAAAAATAACGTCAGTTTCATCTTCTCGAATTTCACCATCATAATAAACAATAGCCGAAAGTTGCGTCATTCTTTAAGTTTAAAAGTGTGACAATATTATATCTGCAAAAAAAATTAATTGAAACAAACCTGATTAAATAAATTATATATGAACGAAAATATAACACAATAAATTTTTTACACATCAACGTAAATAATTTAAATAATATAATTTTATATTATTACTTGTACTGCAAAACTATTTTGATGTATGCTCTTGCTTTTCAAAAATTAATTAAAAATAATTAGTATAATATTTTTTAAAATAATCATAATAAACAATAAGTATAATAAAAAAAATATAACGAAAAATCGGACGAACTTCTAAATCAAATATGAGAAAATTACCAGAATTATTACTCGTTGACAGAATTGTTGTATTAATTTATAAGTTGAGAGGAGAGATGTGAGAAACTTAACCGGAGGTGAAAGGTATTTATAATCATATAAAGTGCGGTACCTACATCGCGTTATATGTAATTATTCAGATAAAAGATATAGCGCGGACTAGGTTCCGCGCTAAATATAGTTCGTACCAAGGTATAGCGCTGAACAGAGACGACGCTATACCCCTACGTGACGTATAACGCGAACAGGGGACGCGCTATACCCACGTATAAGCTATGTCAACGTATAACGCGATAGGAGATGCGTTATAACCCACGTGACGTCAAATCATCATATAACACAAGATAAAGAGCGCTTAACTGCTACAGGAGTTAAATCAAAAAATATAATCTAACCGATATTAGATCAATAAATATATATATCGATCACCGATAATTTTTCGATAAAAACGGCCAAGATAAATATGAAGACAAAAAGACAAGACAAGCCCTTGCAATGCATGGCATGGCACCACATAGCTTTACATACACATAGAAATGTTCCCAATACTATATAGTTATGTACATAAAAAAAATCAGACAGGCAATAATGGCAAACATCACTGTCCCAAGAGATTAACAAAATTGGGGAAATGTGTCTTACAAACAAATTAGCCTTTCATGTATCATAAGGCCAAATAACATCCTCCCCCAAATCCATGTCCTCTGAACTAACTTACTAAAACATGAATCAGGGACTACCTGGTCTTAAATTGTGAGAGATAGACCTGGCATTGTATTACAATTTTTAGGATTCGAAATCCGGGGACAACGGTGAATGCGACTCGTGGTTCCGATTCCGGTGTGATTTCCGATGAAAGGAATGCTTCCTCACCTACACTTTCCATGTATACTTCTGAAAACCTACACCCTTTGCTTATTTGAAAGATTGATGTCTCGGGGTCGAAAGAGAATGCTAAGCAGTGCAGAAGCCAAACCCTTTTTGCCATTTCAGCAAACAATGTGAAGAATGTTGTGTCTGGGAATTGATCGGAACTCAACATTTCTCTATTGCTCAAATTGCCAAAAAACGATGATTCCATCTTTGGAAGAACAACTTGCAAGTACTTATTCCTGCAGAATTTGGAAAATGTTGATTTCGGTTTCATGGCTAGATATTCCATAGCTTTCATGGATTTCAGTTCTGTAAACCGATCGAAGAAGACTCGGGGATGTTTCTTCCCTTCTGGAACAGAGCTTCCAAAAAGGGAGAAATAAGGTAGGTGGAAAGATTTGAACATTTCCCTGCAAATGAAGGACTCAAACGCGAAACATTTATCATCTTCCTTCCAATACACCACACCTCTTTCAATCGAACTTGCTGCCGCATTGATATCCCAACCAGCCAACTTCATTTCGTCGATCATCAGCCTGACGAAACTTCGAATCGACTTCACAGTTTGACGGAGAAAAGCGATGAAATGTGTGGGATTTAAGCCGGAAAGATTGAGATTGTCGAGCAGAACTAACTGGCCGCTTTGATTTAATCTCTTCTCCAGCAACCTGTTTTGTTTATTGGACTCATCCAGCTTTTCCCGGAGAAAAATGATCTCGGACTCTTTGAGTCTCGTCTGAGATTCCAGTTTCTTTGCCATGATTTTAAACGTCGTTGAAAGGCTTTTCAGTTCCTGGATTTCGGCTAAAGCCATTGCTTGTTCTGGGGAAAAATCGTACTGTTTCTTCAAGAAACACTGCTTCAGTTCCGACAGTTTTTTCAAGTCAGAAACGATGATTTGATCGGCTCCTTGGATCCCTTTAGCATCGTAAGGAGACTGAGCGGCCTGCAACTGCGCATATTCTGCTTTAATACCCGAAACAGTAGCAAAGATTTTAGCAACAATCGCTTCCAGGGCCACTTTTGTTTCATGTTCTTCATTATGTAATCTGTCAAATTTCTGGGATAATCTCTTGGTTGTCTTACAATCATTCCATTCTTCAGTTTCCTTAGGCAGCTCAACCTTGTGAACCCCGTCGTCCGGAACAACTCCCGCCGCCGTCGCGTGCAGGTGAAGGACCTTCGATAAAGTTCGAGACCATTTGCTCTTTGATGGAGTAACAGCCGATGGCATCACTGCTTCCATCTGCAAATGTAGTCTCAAACGGAGAGAGTTTCAATCAACTTTAACAGGCAAGAACGAAAGATGGGGAAGCCAATAAAGATCTATGAAGATACTGACAATGATGAGGGCTTAATGAAAAGAGAAGAAGCAAAATGATTTTAACAAGACCGAGGACCTTAATGGGGGACCCTTTAACCTTCTTTTGGAACAAGTGAAAAAGAAAGGTACACTTTTTCAACAAGGCGGGAAAAGAGAGACAAATACAGAGGAACAACGGGAGGAGGAAGAAGAAGAAGAGCAAAATGGATGGAAATGAAATGATTCAACGAGATGCTCAAAAGACGCGTTTAACGTTATCAAAGTTCAAAAAGCTACAACAAGCTTAATATTTTATTCAAACGGTGGGATCAGAAAGAGTATATAAAAGAATAAAATGAAGAATTATTTTCTTTTCATAATAATAATAAAAGAATTTAAGTTGCAAAAATAAAAATTATATTACTATAAAATAATCACAAATCTTAAATACTAATTATAAAATAGACAAAAATATATTAAAAATTAGAAAGATAATTATAAAAATTTACTATAATATTTCATAAAATAATTATTTTAATCTTTATTTTTTTTCGAAACACTTTGACCTTCATGATTAATATGAGGTACATATGAGATATCATCTGTTTAAAAATAACTTTCAACTATTTAACATTTAACACTCACATTCTAATATTTATGGTGTTCAAACCCGATATCTCAATAAACAACAACAATTTATTTACCATTAAAGTCGTTTAATTTATGCTTATTTTTACTACTAAGGTTGCTCAATAAGTTCAAAAAGAGACATATCTAAATACTTTAATATAATTTGGACCACGTGTACTATCTTGTAATCTATTAGACTATTTAAATAATATAATTTTAATTATTTTTTATTATAATTTGTTAATAATTTTGCAAACTATTATTCAATCATAAAATATTTCACTATTGATTAATAATCAGTTGAACTATTGGTATAGGGAGTTAGATCTTATAAAATAATGTCTGGTATTTGAATTTAGCTTTTTAAATGAGATAAAATAGATTAAAATATTTTCATGATAAATCTTAATTGAATTCAATCGAGTTTAATCTGTCAGTGAATCACATACTAATATACTATGAAATATAATAATTATGTATGTTTAGAAATGTTTATAATATATTTTACTGTGAGAAGGTCTATTTATATATTATAAAAATTTTAAAAAAATATATTGATTAATTTATCATTAGATTAATATAAATTGATATATGAGATTATTCAATTTTTTTTATAAAAAGTTCTTATTTTTAACTTTTTAATCTCAAAATATCAATTTATATCGATTTTATGATCTTAAATCGATGTAAAAAGATTTTATATTGCACAATTATATTCTATCTCTATTTTAATATAAATGATTCATAGTAATTTTTTATTAACTATCATTATCATATTTATTGATAGACTAAAACATAATAGGTATTACAAATGTTCGATATGAAGGTGATCCTCCCAATACTTTTTTTTGTTCAAGATACCAGAATTTTAACTCCTAATTTTATTTAAGGATCTAATAGCTTATATTATTAAACCAATGAGTATGTGTAGCTATTTTAATTTCAATTAATAAAATTTAATAACTCCATCGACAGAATATTATATATTTTATTCGTGTAAATATACTAATAAATAATTTTGTCTAACAACTTCCATTATTTATACCTTGAAGAACTGCAACTTCATTTGAATATAGGAAATGTCAGTTACAAGCACATGGAGGAATCAAAAGGTGTCCAAAGTATTTCCAAGAATAATAATGCAAAAATAAAATTAATTAATCTAAAACCTTTTTATACTAAGATATATAGAAAGGACCGAAAGCATTACATCCAAAAAGTTAATAGAAGTTGATCTAAGAACATACCATAAAAAGTTCCTATAAAATGGTGAAAGAAGACTTTCAATTTTTGTAGCGTAAATCCAAATCTAGATGTGTTGTATTTCAACAAAAGTACACGAGAAAAACAACAAACAGAGTTAAATGGAAATATATCTAACCTAACTCGTATCAGGACAATAAATTCTAATAGGTCAGATTTTTAGTCAATCCGAAGCTCTATTCAATTTTTAGATTAAAATTTACATTCAATCTGACCCAACACAATATATATATAATATGTTTATTTTTATCATATAAAATAAAAAAATTAATTAAAAATAAATATAAAATATATTATTATAATTATCTTAAAATATATATTATTAGAATATTATAATAATTTATATTTTTATCTTAAATTTAATAATATCTTAAAAAATTAACTTGATTCAACTCATATTTAAAATTTTAATATAAAAATCAATTCAATGTCAAATCGTATTAATTCATATCATAACTAGTCAAATATGAATAGAATTGTCATCCCTACTCAAACTGATCCCTATACTTGACCCAGTTGAAACTTTCTCCAAGATGGATCTGATATGGAACAAATACTTCAATTCAAACCCAATCAGTGAACCATTTTTTCCTCACAAATATAAACAAAAACTTAAATAAAAAAACCTAAAATTGGTGAATAAATCTGATATGAAACAATTACTGCATATTCATTACTCATGAGGTTTTTGTACGTTCACGTGGCTTACCAGTGAGTGCTCTGCACTGAGCCAATGACTTTGATATTTTGTAGTATTTCTAAATCTCTCACACATCACATCAATATATAATATAATTGTCCCAACACTTTCGATTCACTGAAAGGTTATTTTTTGTACAGTGGAGAAACTTCACATATCCGTTGGATTTCTGATGTGTTTACTGAGATTCGAGCCCATTTTGTCTTATAAACACAACGGTCTCTTTGCTTATGAAATTACATTTTTAAAATCGATCACACATTGAACCGATGAAGGTACTAATTAATTGGTTTAATGGTTCAATCGGTTGAATCGAATTTTATATAAAATAATTTTTTTTAATTTTACATAATATTCAAAGTAATATTAATATATATGTAACACCTTTTTTAAGTTTATAATATTAAAAGGTATAAAAATATCACAAGTCATAACATATATAAATTAAAAACTATAAAATCCAGTGAAACAAAATGATTAAAATCAACTACAATATAATATTTAAGGTAAAACATATTAAATAATAAATATAATTATATGACTATAATTAAAAAATAAAGTTAGAGCTTAAAAAATCATAACAAAATGATGTCATTTGGTTTAATTTAAAAAAAAAACAATCTCACATGGCTAAGAAACATAGAAGAACATCACAAAAGTTTAAAGAGAAAAAATATGAGAACAAAACAATCTCACATGACTAAGAAACATAGAAGAACATCCCAACTTATTTCTATAAATAATAGAGGTAATTTGACATTCAAAATCATGGAGCCTTTTGGTGAGCACAGAGCAAACTATTCTTTCGCTTCAATTGAGCTCAAATTTTAGACTTCAATCGAACTTCTAAATTTTTTTTTAGTTTGAGCCTTTTCGAGTTCAAGTTTTAATATTATATTTCGAGTTTGAGTTGAACTTGATAATTTTTAGCTCGCGAGTTTTTGAGTCGAGTTGAATTTACTTTTTAAAGTTTTCGAATTCGAGTCGAGCTCAGCAATACTCGAATTTAACTTGGCTTGTTGAACAAACGACGTCGTTTGGTTTAATTTTTTTTAAAGAAAAAAAGTGAACTGATGATTCAAACCGATTTTACCGATTTTCAGCTGGTTCACCCCGATTTTTCTGATTTTCAGTCTGTTCTACCAGTTTTCAGCCGGTTCATTGCCAGTCCGATTTTGTGAGGTAATCGAATCAGACATGCCACTGATTTATGGTTCAACTGATTAAACCGACTGATCCAATCCGATTTTGATAACTATGGAAATTACACATGCGGTTTTATATTTATTATATAGCGTTCACGATTTATAATCTTTAATTGTATGAACTTAAGAAAAAGTAATATTAAGAAACGAAGAAAGAAAATATATTTTCAGCGATATTAAAAATGATCATTAAAAAATATAAAAACTAATATTATTCTTATTAGTAAGTGATATTTTACACAACTACATAGTTAAATTTTAATTAAAAATTTATTATGAAATTAATTATAATAGAAATTACACTTTTAATTGTAAAACTCTTTTTTTTAGAATTTGTATAACAATATCTGTCATCAGTCAGATTTTGATAAATTAATACAATCTATGATTTCGAACTTAGAATATTTAGGAGAAGAATAGAACGCCTAACTATACTAAGCAAGAAATATTTAATTTTCGACAAAAAAGTTTTTAAGTTGAGCTTTAGGGGAAGAGTGGATTTGTGGGTCTGCAAATATTTAAAAGCTTTAGGGGGAGAGTGGATTTGTGGGTCTGCAAATATTTACTGTTGTTTTTTATGGAATGCAACAGTGAATGAGGAGGTAGACCATACGATGCTTGATGAGTGGTCAAAGGTGTTGGGGAGTGAGTATTTGACGTTGATGAGTGGTGCAGATATTTTGACGTGCACTCTCACTACCGCATATAAATCCCAATCTGCACCCATGAGCAGCTTGCACCATTTTCAGTAAGTTCCCGTGGCAAGATAAAGAAGAAAATGAAGACAAAACAAGGAACTGACTTTAGATGGTTGTGAAGATAGAAAGAAGGGGTTTGTATTGGAGTGGGCTTATGTAATTATTCTGTATAAAAAACAATGGAAAAATAATTTCAGAAAAGAAGATAAGTTAAGAGAGAGAGAGAGAGAGAGAGAGAGAGGAAAGGTGGCTGCAATTAGTTGAAGCGTTGGTCAATGGGTTATTCAATGTGACGGTTAACATTCAAGTAAACGGTTAATGGACTAAGGGTCTATATTTACTTCAGAATGATTAAGCGTTAAATGATTTAAATGTTGAATAATTCAAATGTTGAATAATTCAGAGACTTTGAATGAATTAGATCTGAATGTGACATATTGTTTGATAATGACTCTGAATCATTCAGAATATACTTCTGTGCTGAATCATTCAGTATTGTTTTATTGAATCAGTCAACACTAAATCATTCAGAGGTACGAAACAAACACGTTCAATATTCAGCGTTTAATGGTTCCATTAAAAGGCAAACAAACAACCCCTAAATTTTTCCTTATCTACATTGACCATTGTTAATGTTAACATCAAGAGATCTATGATTACAAATCAATAATATTAATGATAAATTTATTACTTTTTCAAATTTTAATGAGAAAAGTAAAATCATACTAAATATTAGTGATGATTTGTCTAGTTAACTTGTGTTTTTAATCGAGGAAAAAATCGGTAGA